GACTGCTAGAGGTTAGGGAAGTGTGCATGATTGTATTTATGGATGCATTTGCATTTTAGCAAGAAGTCTTATAGCGCAACAGGCGATTCAACTCTACAACCTAATGCTACTTACGATACTCATTCAGTACACCAAAAAGAGCTGCTGTGGCCTTCTCGATGTAATATTTGCATCCTTAAGGCAGCGCACTTCAATTACCCATCCTTGAAAAGCACTCTGGCTGAAGAGTGGGCTCCAGCTTTAGAAATGTGGTTATCCATAATTCATCCCGAGGCCGATCGGTCTACCTCCCTGTCTAACTCCTAAGACTGGTTTAGAAACAGCCTCAGAACATTCTCGCGTCTGTCACAGCCGCTTAAAAGAAATCAAAGCTTCGGCTTTTCTCTGCCGCGGAAACACCCTGCCAATGCTCGCCAAGGGACGCACGGGATAAAAACAATAGCAGCTGGCTCAGACACACGGCACAGACAGCACACACACACACACACACCTGGGTTGCACAGGTAAGCCAGTTGTGAGCGTGAGCCGTGCACGAGGCCCGGATCAGAGCCATTATCTGGCAGAGAAATCTTCTGCTTGGGAGGGAGAGCGGAGATTTTATGAGAGCTGTCAACAGTGCTATTATTCCATATTAAACTTTGATGTACTGTTGGGGCTGGCAGCGCTGTGGCACCGTCGTGCATGCACACTGTACTGGAGCTCGCCTCGGTCCCCTCTCCCCACCAAGCGCGTCATGGGTCAAAGTACGGCAACGACAGAGCGCTGCCCTCTGAATGCAGCCGCTCATTAAGGGCATTAAACACCGCCGAGCCGCGTGTGATTAGTTAGCTGATAACACACGTAGGTTCACAGTAACCAAATACAGGAAGCCTTAAATCATTATCCTACGTTTTTTTTCTAATGTAAAGAAGGTGTTTGTGCCTGTGGACGTGGTTACGGTGGTCGCGGGGAGAACAAAGGCACCTAAACCTTTCCAGATGTGCAGGCATAACATAATAAGAGTGGGCAAACATTTGTGTCAGTGGGGGGAGCAGTGGGAAGGTTATTAGGGGATTATGGAGAATCACAGAGCCTTTTCCTCTTCTTTTTGTTTTTTAAGGCACAGGAGCTTGTGAGCCCCAGCTGGCTTTAGTTCACGCAAAAACACACACACACACACACACACACACACACACACATATTGGCAGATGAAATCCTTTTCAGGAGGAACCTGGATTTCCTCTTCATGATGTATTACGTGGCAATAGAGCCAGCAGTCTTAAGCATCAGTATAGTTTATCTGCTGCAGACAAAGCACCCCCCCCCCCACCTTCCACACACACACACACACTACACATTCCATAAGTTGTGTTTGGGATGTGAGTTAAGAGGGATTTGTTATCTTCTGACTGCTGTCTCTCTTGTTTGGCTTCTAAAATAGCAGCGTTAGACCCTTTCCTAATAATAAAGTATCCACACAGTAAGATCCATGTTGCCTGGTTTTAAAGATGAGAATTTGACAATGTGCATAATGTGAGATGAGAAGATGCGATGAGATAATGTGAATTTATCAACATTGGTCGTGAACGCTCAAGGAGGGCTTCTTCTTCTTCCTATTCTGCAGACATAAAACCACAGCCAATGTTGCAAATCAATAAGGATCTTTTTGTGTAAAGGTACTTTGGTTTTACGAGCATTCAAGTAGTTTTATCAGCTCAAAACATGATATATTTAAATGAAAACACGTTGAGCTCATGATATACAGCAATAAAAGTCTGTATCCGTGGCTCCTCCCCCTATAGGGTTCATGAAATGCAACTCCTCCATTTCTACGTTTTCTTCTTTTTACGCTTCTGATAAACTCCTTTACATCTGTATAATATCACCAACTTGAGCTCAGTGAATGACACTCACAATTGCTCTGGAGTGGGTGGGAATTAAGGAAGAGATTTAGTGAACAATCATAACTCATTTGGTAGGGATATAAGGCTCACCTTTGGGCTAGCACTCCCCGGAGAGCTCCGCCGTTGAAGACTTTGGCATATGTGACTGCTGGGCCGCTGTAATGTAATTCAGAACCCTTTGAATGAATAAATCTACTCACTTAGATCTTCCCCTGAGAGCAAATGCAACGAAGGTGGGGAAAAAAGCAAAAAGACAGGCCACGGGACGGAAAGATATAAGGGCGGCAGGAAGAGAGGCTGTCCGGGAGCTGAGAGGCTGTGTCATCAAGTCATGGATACATTTAAAAGCTCACAGCGGGCGATTGAGTCTTTTTCATTCAAATGTGGAATAATGACAGTTATTGCTGGCTTTAAAATCATTATATCTATTTCTAAATAAGCTTGTCGAAGGTCGATTTGTACTTTCCTCCATTCAAATTGTTCCACTTAAGTGGTTATCAAACACTAATCATGTAAAAACCTTCTGCAGAGGTGTGACAAAAAACAAATGTGAGTCTAATTCAAGCGAGTTGCTAGATTTATGAGGCCAAGACGCAATTTCACTCGCCCTCTGCAATCTTCATGAGTGACTCGTGTTCTCGGCGGCTCAGCTAACTGCGCTGAATTACTTTTAAATTAAATTCTGACTCCATTCTGATTCCTGACGTACACGTCGGTTGCAGCACAGACCCCCCTTTGAGTTTGGAGGCACAACCTGGAGCTTTGGGTCGGAGGGTCTGTGGAAAGGGAAGGGGGGTGGGGGGGGGGGGGGGTCCTGTGTTAACCAGACCTCATGTGATCACCAGACCCTATCCTCAGGCCCGGGGCACTCCGCACAACTTAATTAGAGCCAGATATTTCCCCAAAACTGCTCTGTTTTCCACCAGTGACCAATATTAAAGTGATTTATGACTCTCTTCTTGAACATTAAGTGTTACATTTATAGCGGCAGTCCCGGCAGATCAGATTCCCCATCAAGATGTGAGTGGACATATTTATTAACGGGCTGCCAGGCCGCAGAATAAATATTACGGTGTTTAGGAATGCAGGTGCTTTAATTACTTTCATACTCAATTTGTTGGAACGCAAAATGGAAAAATATGACTTCTGGCTGTTGCTTTGTCATAAGTGCTAGAAATCAATTCTTACTGCCCCTAAAACGTTGTGTAGTAAAAGTCAATTACTTGCGACAATTAAATAAATGGATCGAAAATATTTCATAAGTGCTGCCTAGTTGGCTTTTTTTAACAAAGTTCTTACTTCGGAAAATGGCCGTGTGTATTGGGGCTATGCCTGGCGTAGAGGCACTTCGATTTTGGATTTATTTAGAGACACCCGCCCTTCCCCCCTGCCAATGGGATCTGTGTAAACTCCGAGCCTGAGGCAACAGGATGTGCGTGTCACTCCATTCTCAGAGACTTGTAGGACGTGGTGGTTCGCCTCATGTGGTTTCAAAGAGTCATGCGCATCGTGTTGTTGCCTGTAATGAAATGCTCAAAATGGTTAATTTACAAAAGCATGCATTATTTATTGCAAGCGCTCTTTCTTAGATTACAAGGGTTACTTTCTCTGGGAGATTATGTATGTTGATGAATGCAAACACATCAGGTTGCTAAACTAATCCCAACAGTTGGTGGAAACCTTCTAACCACAGAGGGCCGATCAGCTGAACCTCTCCGTCAGGGGAAAATCCTCGTAAAGTTTATTCCCTCATTTAATAGGTGCGACAGAATATTTTATTTCATAACCTTTGTGCAAAGGAGCTTCTTTCCTGCACACCATATGTTCAGTATATTCATAATAACATTTTGTTTTAGCTGATAGCTTTCATCCCAACGATGCCAGTTAAAGTAAAATAAGGGTAACATCCAAACAGCAACAATAAACGGGATTCTAAAACAAATCATACAATTAAATGTGTTATGAATATCATTATATACTTTTTACCTTAGTGCCATTGTTGTTCTTGTGCTACAAATCATATTCATTTTTTCTTGCGTGCTGGCTTTTATAATCACAGTATTCTATAACATAACTACAGCGCTACATTTAGAAGTATCACGTTGATGTTCTGTTTTTTTTTAATGGAAAATTCTACTGTCAAAATATGTTTTGTTTTTAAAATATTTGAAGACGTATGCGTGATCAATAGAACACAATTTAATGCAGGAACCTTCCTTTGGTTATCTTACATGTCATTTAGCATATATAACACATATCGACATCTGAAATAGGGATACCCTTTGTCGAATGAATCCATCGAGATAAGCTTCAACACAGTCTGATGCAATGTTGCTGCTATTTCCCTGTATATGCTATAGGGAGCATGGGAGGTCCCCCCAGGCTTTAGGAGCCGCAGTGAACCCTTCGCAGTGACGTTTCTCTGCCTCTTTCTTTCTCCCACAATACAAATGGGAGATGCGATGCAGGTTCACAGCATGGGGGGGGAGTGATGACACAAGAGAGGGAGGGGGTTGTGTTTCACATCCGATTAGCGTGCCCATGGAAACGGATGGTTGGAGGATCCCTTTGCCCTTGACATGCAATCTCCAGAGGTAAGGGCAACGGTTGGTATCCTTACCTACCTGCTGTACCCGTCATGCGCAGTGGATGGAGACAGCAGCATCAGCATCTCTCGCGAGCAAAGTTGTGCGGATGAACGTTTGCAGGCCTCCAGTCCGTTCTAACCTGCGGCAACCTGGTAGCCACAAATTCACCCCTTTGTCTGAAGTGGGATGGTGAATAAACCATCAGGCAGTCAAGTGGTGAGGGGAGTCAGCGGCTTTATTAGCTGGCTCGATGCTGCTGTCGGCCCTTTGAACTCGCAGCGCTCTGATCATAGCAGCGTACGCGGCCTCACACCTCATCATTTCATACACTCTCTAATTCAGGGAGTATATATAACTGACTCAAAGGGACATCTGCAGAAAGCCAGAAACGACAGGTCTGCGCAGTTAGTTTTTAATTTGTTCTGAACCTTCAGAGAGAGAGCGGGGGTTGTTTTCAAAGCGGGGGAGGGAGGGGGGGGGGGGCGAGGGGGCTCAGTTTGAAAGCTGCAGTAATGGGAGCAACTTTTCATGCACTTTGGTTTCCTCACTGGAGTTAACGCAGACAAAGCCAGCCTTCAACTCCGCCACAAGCCAAGCATTCGAACAATGCAACAATGCTGCATATCAAACAGTCCCTGACCGAAATAAAAGAAAGTGCCCACGACCAAAACAACCCCCCCCACTCTCCCCCTCTGAGAGTAACACTCAAAGGCCAAGTGCGGTGGCCCACAGAGGAGGTTAAAAACATCACGGTCACAGTCAGAGGACTTATCACGCATTCACACTGCGTGCAGGGAAATCTGTAAGTGGAAAACCTGGTCAATTTCAGCTGACAATGTCATTCTTTTTGCTCCAAACTGAGAGCCTTTCATGGTGGCTGCCATGGTAACGTGGCCCAAAAGTCGGCAAGCAATTGGTACCAGTTTCTGCCAAGGACCAGACTTTACTGGTAGGCATGCGATAAGCAGCATTTCAGACACTAAATGTTTGGATTGTGAGAAAGCTGAACAACGCTGGACCTCCTCCTTGTTTAGGCACCGTCGCATATGTGCAGGATGAATGTGTGGGGAGGCTGTCAGGCAACGAGCAAATCCTCCCTACGATTCCGTAGCAGTTCTGGGGCTTAATCTAGGTTAAGGGAATGTTTTTGGCTTGAACGTGGCACAATTAGCACATCTCATCCATGGCTAAATAATGCTGATCCGCTAATGTGCTTATGTGGTGGGAAGCATTTCATGTCTCTGTCTGGCTGTGTGGCTCTGGATGTAACGGCAGGCTGTGGAGGGATTCATTAGGTACGTCGAGCTACTTTTAGTGAATGAAGGAGGGAGGCACTCGATGGAGACAGCAGCGCTGCTCCTCCGACGTCATGGTAATAACCATGGCTACACACGCCAGGGTATTTATTCTTCTTCTCTACCACAAACACAAACATTGCTCTGTTACCCACAAGGATAACACACACACACACACACACACACACACACACACATGATGAGCTCCAGCTCCTTCCCATATTGACACAAATAAGGCTTTTTCATTATTATACTGTGTCCTCCGTTTGGTTTTGCAATAGAAACCTAACCCATCATTACAATGGGATTATTGTCAGAATGGTCTTCACTATTAATAGTGTGCGTGCATATGGTACGTCAATATGACATTTAACACTGAAACGAGGGCAAGCTTTAATTGGGTCTCAGATTTGATACATTCATAGTGCTAAAAGGCAGTTCAGATAGAGGAATGTGCCGCAATTCATTAAAATAAATGCTAAACATCAGCCGGCAAGAAGCTCACAATGACAACGCAAAGGTATAATACTCTTTATATTGAGCATCTTCACATGGTGGGTTATAGGTGTGCAATAGGTAATAATTAACCTCAATTAAAAATAAGTATCCAAAAGAAAAAACATCATTAAGTCATTATGAAAAATATATATAAAAAATTGGCATTCCTTCATGCTAACGTTTTCTACTTAGCTCAGTTGAAGATGATCAGGGTGTCATTGGCCGAGCACGCAGCATTAGGACCTGGACTAAATGTCATGGTAATCCATCTAATAGTTGACAAAAGTCAGAGGTGGTGATGCGATCAGGTAAAATTGGGAATTTTACTTAGTGAATTTATTTATTTAGTGAATATAAATCCCACTTTCTGTGCACACGAGGTTGACTCCTCTCATTTCAGTGGCGACCCCTTCTAAGCCTCCCAGCTGATTGTTTACACATCGAGATGCATCTGGACGAACTGCAGTGAGAAGGATTCATAGCGCAGAGATGTCAGACAAGTGGAGATTAGATGTTTTTGTGGCGCTCAGAATCAATGACATTGCATGCGGTTGATCCATAATCAGCGTGCCTGTGACTGATGAGCAAGACGAGTAAACACACAGATAAGATCAATTTGTCGCGACACGTCAAACACAGCGAGGACCCAATCTCCGTTGCGTGTTTGCATTTGACAGTTCCTAAAGCTTTGCTGTTACAGTTAAGAGTCACAGACCAGCACATTTTAATCTCTCGTCTCGTAATAGCAGGAAAAACATTTTGCTGTGGCTGCATTCACAAGTGCAAATTTGTTGTTACGTGGTCGTTTTGGCAGTCGATACACAAATCAGCTTTACAACTATTAATAAGCCGCTTTGGCCCACTTGCACGCCGTCTGGGGGGGGGATCCTGCATTGACACGCAGCGTTGAGATATGCAGTTTTGCTCTCGCCAGCCACGAGGGCGGTTGATGAACTTGGCACTGAACCAGACATGCACGAGATGTATATATCTCTCCAGGCTCCGCTAATGGACTACTTGCAGCATCAATGGGGATACGATGGAGAGCCGGCCATTTGAAATACTCAACATAAGAGATATCACCTTAGGAGGTGGTGGTGGTGGTGGTGGTGGTGAAACTAGGGCGGAGATCCTCGGGGCAGCCAGCCAGCTATTTGTCGTTAGTCTGGAGACTGGCCAGTTTATGACACTGTCGACTATTCTCTTCTGTGCCTGAATCCTTCTTCCGCTCCTCTTCTTTTTTAAAGGATGCAGCCGCAGCAGTAGTAAGAACCAGGCATTCCTGAAATTCCCTCTTTATTAAACTTTAATTAGGGAATTACCAATTGTGGGAGGAGGAGGGGATAGTTGAGATTTGTCAGAAAGAGGGCAAAAGCCGGCCTCCGAGGTCAAAAGGAGGATAGATAAGACTCTTATTTTTGTAAGGCATGTGTTATCCTGCCATTTCACGGTTTTACCAGCGGAACACAAATACAGGGATCCTCTCACGAGAAAAGATCACATAGAACACTACAGAGACTGGAACCAATTTCAGAGCAATAAGATGGCAGAGATACCTTTGTTTATGGAGATGAAATGTGCATTAACAAATGACAAACCTGACATGGAAACAATCAAAAGGTCTTTCCACGATGCAACAGATCCTGCCACGTTCAATCACCTCCTCCAGAGTTGGGTAGAGACACAAAGCCATAGCTGGTTGCAGTGTGTCACATGTTTCACACAGAGATGCCTTTCCCCACAGGCTGCAACAGTAAATCCATACCGCCTGTGTTATGACTGGGACGCCGGGCTTATTTTTAGCAGCTTTCATTTCACTTCTCCATCCTGTCGCCAGATTGCAGGGGTTGGGATTCGTCAGGAGAATCACAAGATGTTCGAAACCGCAGCGCAGAGCAGCGGCTGACAGCTCGCTACGGCAGGAGACGTCTAAATTGTCTCATTACAGACCCGGGCCATGACAGGCCGAGCCACGCAGCGAGAGGACGAGCGGATGAGCTGTGTGTGAGCAGAGGCGTAATTACTTTTTTCCGTTTTGCATTGCAGTGTGTGCATATGTTTGTTGTGTGCATAGCGACGGCGCGTGACTGCATGCATGTGTGTTCGCATCGCCCCTTGAACTAACCACTGGCTCGAACACCAGCTGCGGTCGAGGCGAGGCAGCGCATTTACTGCAGGTATCACTGCGAGACATTTATGGCGTTTTAATGGCCTGTGTCTGAAGACCCTGCACTCGCCTTTTCAGGGTTTGCGTCGGACAGGTTATGCAACTTTCCACAGAAAAGGACCAAATCGATAATACTGGTTGCCCTCGTGCAGGGGACTGGTAATATTACGTCTTCATGTGACGATTTTTGTACGTAACAGCGACGTAGTTGTTTGAAACAATCGGACAAACTGGTTATTCGGAAAATCTCAAACAGCAAAGGCTTTGCCTCTGTGTGTTCGGCCGTGTTTCAGTGGGGAGAAGAAGCAGGGCCCACCCGTAATACTGAAACACAGGGCATATTCACAGCTAAAAGCCCCTGGATTTGAAAGAAATGAGCAGAAAGCCTTCAGAATGTGTCAACGTCCGTCATTCATAGTGTATCTGGAACAATAACAGAAGGATAATGTGCAGATTAGGGCTCCAAGGGGCAAAGATGGGCTTTAGACGCGGAAATATGCTACAGAGAATTTCCCCGCTGGAAATGAATTATCCCACTGTTTCCCCGCTAATAAAAGTGTGTAACGCGCTTGTGGAAGAAGATTAGTGTGGATGTGGAACTTGAGATACGCGGCCTTGCAGGGATAGACTCTGAAAACATTCAACTTGCTGTCGAGCTCAGACGCAAAGTCTCCACCGGTTCCAGGCTGAAAGCTTAAAAGGTTTTTCCTCTTTTTCTAAGGAGAGTTGTTCTTTTGAAAAGGTCTTCTGTATGCCGCGGCTGAAGGTGTCTAATTAAGAGATGCTGCAGAGGGACTCTTGAAGAAAGCTCTTGAAAACAAGCTGATCTTTGCCATTGGAGAATTCTGAGTGCCTTTGGTCATAGAGTTCGCATCGCTGCTCTGTCACAACATGGACACTAAGAGATGACAAACTCTTGAGAGACCAGGGAAGGTGGCATTGTCATGGCTTCTGTAAGCTGCTCAACTGCTGCCGTCAGTATACTTTCTGCTTTAAAAGAAAAAAAAGAGAAATCGCAGTCGACTGGCCGACTTATCTCAAGCTGTGTCCTCACGGGAGTCCTCGTAAACCAGAGGAAGGTCATTCTCTTGGGAATTCTAAAAATGGTGCCAGTGTCTCTGAGGAGAAGTGACAGGAATGTCATGACCCTGTGTGAGTGATGTCAATCAGCTTTGTTTTTGACAAAGGGGTCAGTATAGTTCTGAAAAATTCACCTCCCAATTGATTGACTGTCGTCAAGGTTATCTCAGCTTGGTCTTGAGACTTTATATGTTTAACAAAAGTAGAGGTCTGGCATGTGGAAGAAGGGGTTATTTGGGAAGCGGAGAGGTTCGTTGTGGTAAACATGGGATCCAGTGTTGTTGGAGTTTGACCTCGACTCCGGATCAAGGATTTCAAAAAATCAACTGCAAAATCACTAATCGACACATCTGCGTTCATGTAAACTCTTTATGAGATCAGAGTAAAGGTTTATGCACATTTTGTTGTTCACTGTAAATGTACTGCGTAGACTCAGTCGCCACTGAGATATTTAACCACTTAAATATGTCCAGATAAAAAATCCAGCTCTGCATCTACTGACATTTTATTGGACCTAATAACAAGCTGAGGTGTGAAAGATCACCCACACTAAATATCCCATTACAAATAAAGATATTACTGCAAAAACATTTTTCCAAAGAATCTCTGGACCACCAAAAGGAGGTCGTTCAGTTTATAGTAGGTTAAAAGGTCAGAGAGACACTTGAGGTGGACCAAACCATTTGGAAAAGAGGGGCTTAAGGGGATCAGACCACGTTTATTGAGAGATGGCCGAGAACATCTGGGTCCGCTCTCAAACACACACACACTCGCAAACATTCACACACTTTCTCACACAGACGCAGCGCTAGTAAACTCATCTCTAAGCGCGGATAAAACACGGCGACAGGATGCACATCCACGCGTTCCGGCGCTGCGCCGTGTTTGTAATCTGGAGAGAGAGAGAGAGAGAGAGAGTGACAGAGACATGAGACACCAGGGTTTGGGGCTTTCACGTCTATCTGCTGTGCTTCGCTCGCAACACGCTGACTTGATGAACTAGGCTGCTGGGTGGGCTCGAGGAGGCCCACACACAAACTTATCTATACACGTCTCTGGTTCGATCCATCAATTACCCGCTGCGATGACTCTTTGCCCACAAATCTTTCCATAGGCTCTGACGCGAGTAGCTCATAATCGAAAATGTGTGATAAGAGGCTGGGAATTTACATCTGAGTGGTTTCTCCTCCGTGTGCGCCCCTGCAGGTCCCATGGCCTCCACGGAGCATGGCAGAGAGCTGGAAGAGGCAGCCACCGTGAGGAAAATCGTCCAACAAAACCCCGCGCGGGGCGGTCAGACCCACAGACCAGCCGGCTGGAAGAGGAGACGCCCACGGCCACGTCTCTCCCACAAGGGGCCCATGCCGTTCTAGAGCAAGGTACGTTGATGGCCGTCGAGCCAAAGAGACAAACTTTTACCGTCAACGCCGGGATAAAAAAGAAAACGGTCGTTTCTGTCGAGTCGGAGGTACTTGATTCTCAATAGTATCTGAGTAAATTCGGCTGAGTATAATTTCTCATGGGAAGTTTTAGAGGAAAAGGATTAAAAACATTCCATTTTTGATTTCATTTAGAATGGGGAACTCCATCTCTTACAGGAACACAGGGAACCCTACAACTGTCAGGACCGGATAAAAATGAGGACTCAGATGCAGAGGGTTTGGCGTCTTTAATCGCGTCGTGAAAAAACAAACAAACAAACGGCTATGAGCTATCAGTGTTTCCGACGAAAGTTAACAAACTAAAATCTCTCTTAAACGAGGAAAACGAACGGCTTCGAAAGCGCGCTAAAACTAAAACTAAGAAGCTCCAACAAAGGTCACTCTTACTCAGAGGAAAAAACATAAAGGGGTAATCATTCCGAGACAAGGCATTGGTATTAACAAATCCTGTGGCTGTGGCGAGGCTTGGGTGATCGCACGGTGGTACACTCAGGCACAAGACAAAGGGAGACGCAGACTATAAGACACATGAGGGTAATGGGAAACAGGTGGACACAATCAGGAATCAGGGGAGACGATTCGACTGGTGACATGAGGAAGGGCAAGTGACCTGAAACGAGAGGAAGGTTACTACTTTCAAAATAAAACGGAAATGACAAGACCAAAACATGCCGACAAAAACCCAACTTGACCTCACCCTGTGACAGTACCCCCCCTTCTAGGGCCGACTCCTGACGGCCCAGGCTGTTCAGGGTGGTCCCTATGAAAATCCTTTATGAGGTTAGGGTCTACAATGAAACGCGATGGGATCCACTGTCTCGCCTCCGGTCCATATCCTTCCCAGTCCACTAGGTACTGTCTACCCCGGCCCCGAGTGCGTACCGCCAACAACTGCTTGACCTTATACACCGGACCGCCGTCTATAACTTCTGGTTGTGGCGGGGGTGCAGCAGCAGGGACCATCGGGCTCTCTTTCGCAGGCTTGACCTGGCTGACGTGGAAGGTGGGGTGAGCACGAAGGGATCGAGGCAGGCGAAGACGGACCGCCACAGGGCCGATGGTCTTAGTGATGGGGAATGGGCCCACGAACCGTGGAGCCAGCTTCCTTGAAGGCACCTTGAGGTTGAGGTTCTTAGCTGACAACCACACTTTCTGACCTTGCTGGTAGGCAGGGGCGGGTCGTCTCTTGCGGTCTGCAGCCTTCTTTACTCTGTCCCCTTGGCGAATCAGCACCTGCCGGGCGGCTGCCCAGATGCGACGGCAGCGACGAATCATTGCAAGGGCGGAGGGCACAGACACCTCCGGTTCATTGTCTGCAAACACGGGGGGAAGGTAACCAAACACACATTGAAATGGTGGGAAACTAGTGGCTGAGGTAGGCAATGAATTGTGGGCATACTCGGCCCAGACCAGGTTCTTGCTCCATGTTGAGGGATCCTGGGCCACCAGACACCGGAGGCTGGTTTCCAGTTGCTGGTTGAGGCGTTCGGTCTGGCCGTTGGCCTCTGGGTGATACCCCGAGGTCAGGCTGGCCTTCGCTCCGATGAGCCGACAAAAGGCCCTCCAGAACCGGGAAACAAATTGGGGCCCCCGGTCCGAAACTATGTCCTTGGGGAAGCCGTGGATCTTAAAAACATTGTTCATCATTACCTCCGCCGTTTTCTTGGCGGAGGGTAGTTTTGGCAGAGCAATGAATCTAGCCATCTTAGAAAATCTATCCACAACCGTGAGGACAGTGGTGTTACCTTGTGAAACCGGGAGCCCCGTGACAAAGTCTATAGAGATGTCTGACCACGGTCTGGAGGGGATGGGTAGTGGCTGTAAGAGTCCCATGCGTGACGTAGAAGAAGTCTTGTTTCGGGCGCAGACCGAACATGCCTCAACGTACTCCCGGACCTCCGGTTCCATGGCTGGCCACCAGAATCTCCGGGAGATGACGAACATCGTCCTCCGAACTCCCGGATGGCAAGAAAGCAGTGAGGTGTGGGCCCAGTGGATCACCTGTGGGCGTAACTCAACCGGAACGAACAACCGAGTTGCGGGGCACCCACTAGGTGGTGGGGTCTCACCATTAGCCTGCTTTACCTCATTTTCTATCTGCCAAGTCACTGCTCCAACCACACAGGTTAGTGGAAGGATGGCTTCTGGTTCTTTGGCAACAGGCTCGGGGTCGAAGAGTCGAGACAAGGCGTCGGGCTTGACGTTGCGGGACCCCGGCCTGTAGGAAAGGGAAAAGGAAAACCGGTTAAAGAAAAGCGCCCACCTGGCCTGGCGAGAATTCAGTCTTTTGGCTTTTTTAATGTATTCAAGGTTCTTGTGATCAGTCCAGACAATGAATGGGTGGTTAGCCCCCTCAAGCCAGTGTCGCCACTCCTCCAGGGCCACCTTGACCGCCAGCAGTTCCCGGTTACCAACATCATAATTGCGTTCTGCTTTGGACAGCCGCTGTGACAGGAAGGCGCAGGGATGCATTTTACCATCCTGCTCCGACCGCTGTGAGAGGACTGCCCCGATCCCTTCGTTGGAGGCGTCCACCTCAACCACAAACTGTCGCCGGGGGTCTGGCATGGTGAGAATGGGGGCCGAGGTGAAAAGACGCTTGAGGTTCTGGAAGGCTGTCTCCGCCTGTGGAGACCATTGGAACTGCACCTTTGAGGAGGTAAGAGCATGGAGAGGGGCAGCTATTGCGCTAAAGCCTCTGATGAACCGTCTGTAAAAGTTAGCAAAGCCGAGGAATTGCTGAACCCTTTTACGGCTATCAGGTGTGGGCCATTCTGCCACAGCGCTAATTTTTGCCGGATCCATCTGCACCCTTCCAGGGGCTACAATGAAGCCCAGGAAGGAGATGGTGTCGGCATGAAACACACTCTTTTCTGCTTTGACGTAGAGTCTGTTCTCCAACAGTCTTTGAAGTACTCTGGTTACGTGGTCTCTATGGGTGTCAAGGTCAGGTGAGTAAATGAGGATATCATCCAGGTACACATACACGAAATGGTCTATAAAGTCCCTTAGGACATCATTAATCATGGCTTGGAACACTGCGGGCGCGTTTGTTAGCCCAAACGGCATGACCAGGTATTCGTAATGTCCCCTCGGGGTATTAAACCCTGTCTTCCACTCGTCACCCTCTCTTATTCTGATTAGATGGTAGGCACTGCGAAGGTCTAGCTTAGTAAAGACTTTAGCCTGCTGGAGCTGATCGAACACAGAGGACATGAGGGGTAGAGGGTAACGGTTCTTTATTGTGATGTCGTTTAGAGGGCTGTAGTCTATACAGGGCCTCAGGGACCCGTCCTTCTTTGCCACAAAGAAGAAGCCGGCGCCTGCTGGGGATGACGAGGGACGGATCAACCCCGCTTTGAGTGAAGTCTGGATGTACTCCCGCATGGCCTCCTTCTCTGGCCCCGAAACAGAGTACAGGCGGCCCTTGGGAACGACAGAGCCCGGAAGCAGATCTATAGCGCAGTCATATGTCCGATGTGGAGGAAGAGACATGGCTTTAGTCTTGTTAAAAACCTCCCGAAGGTGGCGATAGCAGGGGGGCACGGTGTTCAGGTCCGGGTACTCTGAGTCTGTGGTAGATTTAACGGAAGCAAGGTTAAGCACTGGAATATCCTCTGCCGGACTAAAAACGTCGAGGCAGTTCCCAACACAGTCCTCCCCCCACCCTATAATTTCTCCCGTTCGCCAGTTCACATGGGGGTTGTGGCGACACAGCCATGGCTGTCCCAAGACCAGTGCCTGAGAAGGGGATTGAAATAAATAAAAACGAATGATCTCTTTATGGTTCTTTATGTGCATTTCGAGAGGTTCGGAGGTGTGGGTGATGGTGAACAGTTCAGCTCCGTTGAGGGCCTTGGCTTGGATAGGCTTTACCAAGAGCTCGGACTTGATACCGAGTCTCTTCGCTAGTCCCCAGTCCAACAAGCTCGCGTCAGCCCCCGAGTCTAATAGCGCCTCAAGTCCTGTGGTGGTGTGGTGCATTACCTTGACCGCTGTGAGGGTTCGGGAAGCAGAGCCTGGAGCAGCGAGTTGTCTCACCACTGTGGGTCTCCTGGCTGGACAGCCCACAACAAGATGGCCCAAATCCCCGCAATAAAAGCACCGCCCTTCTTGCTGTCGTCGCAGTCGCTCTCCCGTGGTCAGCCGGGCCCTCCCCAGCTGCATAGGTTCCCCCCCTTCTTCCGTGGTGAAGGGCCCCGGCTGGTCGGGCGGAGCGCGTTGGGGGTCTGGTCCGCCTGGCGCACGGGAGCGTGGGTATCCCTCAGCCGTAGCAGAGCTGTTGCTCCGCTCTCGTCTGAGTTGGCGGAGCCGGTTATCCGTCCGGATGGCAAGCGCGATGAGAGAGTCTAAATCTGGGGGTAGATCCAAAGGCACCAGGAGGTCTTGAACAGGAGCAGCCAGCCCCTTCAGGAACACATCGTACAAGGCGGTGGAGTTCCACCCGCTCTCTGCAGCCAAGGTGCGGAAGTGTATGACGTAGTCACAGACAGAGCGGTCGCCTTGCCTCAACCTGCTCAGCTCCTGAGCCTTTTCGCGGTCGGTCGACACTGGGTCAAAAACCCTCTGTAAGGCTGCTTTAAAGTCGGTGAGGGAAAAGCAGAGTGGGGAGTCACGAGCCCACTCTGCCGAGGCCCATGCTTTGGCCCTGCCGGTCAGGTGGGTCATCATGAATGCTACCTTGGACCTTTCGGTGGGGAAAGCATGAGGAGTCAGTTCAAAATGAATAGAACAGTCAATGAGAAAGGTCTTGCATAGTCCCTGCTCCCCCGCAAATTTCTCAGGGGGGGCTAACCTTCCTCCAGACCCATGGACAACCGCTGTCGGGGGAGGAGCAGCCTCTACTGTCGGGGCCCTGGGGGCTGTGGTGTCCTGGACGAAAAGGTCACGCAGACCCTGAATTTGGGATGAGAGTAGGCTTATGTGAGAAGCCAGTGACGTCTGGAATTCCTCTTGACGGGAAAGACGGGCATCTTGGGCACCCAGGGCTGCCGCCATCTGTTCTGCCTCTGCTGAGTCCATACTGGCCTGAGTGTTCTGTCAGGACCGGATAAAAATGAGGACTCAGATGCAGAGGGTTTGGCGTCTTTAATCGCGTCGTGAAAAAACAAACAAACAAACGGCTATGAGCTATCAGTGTTTCCGACGAAAGTTAACAAACTAAAATCTCTCTTAAACGAGGAAAACGAACGGCTTCGAAAGCGCGCTAAAACTAAAACTAAGAAGCTCCAACAAAGGTCACTCTTACTCAGAGGAAAAAACATAAAGGGGTAATCATTCCGAGACAAGGCATTGGTATTAACAAATCCTGTGGCTGTGGCGAGGCTTGGGTGATCGCACGGTGGTACACTCAGGCACAAGACAAAGGGAGACGCAGACTATAAGACACATGAGGGTAATGGGAAACAGGTGGACACAATCAGGAATCAGGGGAGACGATTCGACTGGTGACATGAGGAAGGGCAAGTGACCTGAAACGAGAGGAAGGTTACTACTTTCAAAATAAAACGGAAATGACAAGACCAAAACATGCCGACAAAAACCCAACTTGACCTCACCCTGTGACAACAACTAGATTCAGGTCCAACACATGGATGTTATTGTTGGCACTGAAAATAAGTGTATGTATTAACAGATGATTGGACTCCAGCCTGCGTAGTACAACGGAGCTTGTTTTTAAGACTACGTCATATATTTCCTAATAAGGGAGACAGTTATACTTAGAAACTGAAGCTTTGAGTCACTTCAGCCAGCGTAAATAGTTTCTCTCCAGATGATTTTGTAGATTAAACCCCTTTGTCCAAAGATAACACACTGTAGAGTACGGTTTCCCAGCTGCACAACTTTTCTGCTGAGCGAATGTTTACCTTGCTGTCGAGTAAAACAAGTCTTTGTGTGAAAACGCTTTCATCCGAAATCTTAGACAATATTTTACTTATCACCTTTTCACGGCTTCATTTTCTTTCCTGAACCAAAACAAACTCTGTATTTCTAACAAAACAGATCAAGCTTCCTTGAGAAACTAAAACGTGCTACAAGTAATTAAACAAGATGATCAAAATTACAATATACACAGACTAATATACTCGTATTACTTGCTAACGTAGCCCAACTTTCTAAATGGAAAGCAACAGCAGCTGCTTGCATGAAGTGCGGGACCCATTCACATGTCTCCTGCAGACACTGAGACAGACAAGGGAACTCAACGAGACAATATCCCTGCAGGAGGTGCCGACCATACAACACTGACCTGCAGAGGGTCGCCATAAATCCGAGCCACAGCGAGAGGAGTCTGCAGTGTCACGGCATGGTTAATCAGTTTAAGGGAAAAAGGGGATACAGGTTATAGAAGCGTGGGCGCTTTTTTCCTTCATCAGCATTGTTTCTAGAGGCTAAGCACAAAGGGGGAAACAATGAGTAAGGACTTAGCCGGGGCAGAATGCACTTGAAGGGCAACTCGGGTCCTCCAGCTTTCCTCGGCCAGCCAATAAAACGTGAGAATCCGTTCCGCACGTTCAGCGGCGAGGGCTTTGAGGGGTCAGTGCCAGATTGCCGGGCCACAAAATACAAGGAGTTTCAGGAAGTTATGAATCCTTGTGAAAGTGAACGGCCCAGTGAGTCACAATGCCGCCTCCGCAATCGCCCCCTTAGACACGACGCGCCGAAGATTCCCCTTTTCTTGTTAGTTCCACTCCGGCTTTTCTTATTATGGCAAGTTCATAGTTCACCTCATTCAAGGGTTTCCCCCAAATACCACGCCAATTCACCCAAATCTGACCACCGCGGGAATCAGGCTGTCCCCCATCAGCGTCTCAGTGATACGAGCAATGAACGGTGAAGGAATTAAAGTTCTTCGCGGTTACGACCAAGTCGTCCAACTGCCTGAGTTTTAATTATTCAGCCTTTTATTTAAGGCTGCGTTGATAGAAATCAGACGGACACTTTATACATATAAGTGTCCCAAAACAGCCGTCCCAACACATAAAAAGTGCGTCCCGCTCCGTTGATTTGGATTGGAATGTCCTTTTCCTTTTCTATTTCAATGGGCGTGTTAACCCTTGCGCGCCTTTCTTCTTCCGTTTGAGCTGATGATGGGAAGAATACCTCTGGAAGCAGCCAGCGATGCGTTATGTCTGATCAAAGATAGAGTTCAATGAAGACATCCAGCTGAGGGCCAGTGAGACCCGCAGGCAGACGGGCCGTATGTGGATATGACATTAATGGAGGCGGTGACGGACTTGACAGTGTTTGTCCGCCAACTCCGCAGCCATTTAGCGTCAAAAGCAGCTCGTCTTTTATTCCCTGAGGCACCTGAGGCAGGAGTTTGACTTTTTTTTCCATCATTACACATCCCAGATGTGAGGGACTCTGAGAAGAAAGATGGCGACCCAGGTCATCCTCTATGAGCATTTGAGTGGACTCAGATACAAACGCGCCATTACCACTCTTAGTTCTCTTAGATCTAAGCCACGCCAGCGACGGTCCAAAGGGAAGACAGGATATTACAGATTGAAGGCCACGGGCAATTTATTAAAAAAAAAAAAAAAAAACTCGAGACCGTAAGTGTGAGTAGGTGAACGAGTCTTTGATCAAAAACAACGCAGAACATGTCTGCGACGCTTCCCACGCGCTCACTCCGCTGCTCGGAGCTCGTTCCCTGAACCCAAAAGCACAAAGGACGACGACAACAACGCCACAAAGGTTTTGAAAGGTGGAACATTAGTTCTCGCAGCATTACAGGACCGCGGAAATATGACATCTTGGAACAAAAACAGGCTCTTATCAATGAATGGACCTTGTTGTCCCGCGACAAAGCTGACTGCACTACTCATTTGAAATCTCGCAGAATTATCAAGAGAAGGGGGGAAGATAAAAGGCGAGGGAAGATAAAAGATTTCCTCATTGTTAAGGATTGGTCCCGTGCCCAGAGCGTGGCATAATGTTGTGCTCGTGTACAATTGTTTTTCTTACTACCTGCAGCTCTTTTCTGTCACAGACAATGAAATCTGGTCGGAACATGTCTGGGATTTTCCAGCTGGTGCGAGATAACGTCGGGTATGACACAGTGAAGGCTGCGATAGAAACTCCCCGAGGGGGGCGTTGCATTCGAGAGGAAATTGAAATGTCTGCGGGACTCATGAAATTATATATTTTTTTTAGGAAACAAAACAAAACTCACGCTGACGGCAATTTTTCTGTGTTTTTTCCTGTTTTTGCAGGCACTGCTTTGAGCGCCCTCCCAAAGGTTCTGATTTCTAAGCTCTTCCTTTGCCTTGGGGGGCCCTGCAACGACGGGCCTACGTTTGCCCAGCCTGAAGAGTGACGTCCATAGCACCTGCTGGTTCTTCAAGCAACTCTGTCCATAAAAAAAAAATCAGGACAAGCCGCCCACCCTCAGCTCTAGGAGGAATCGGGGGCAGGGAAAGGGGGTGGGGGGGTGGGAATATGGAGGCCGAGCTATCAGACTCTATTTCTCCGTCTCTCTCTTTCTCTTACTCTCACTCCGTATCTATCTCTGTCTTCTCCCAAGTGTTTTACCTTCTTTTTTTTTCCTCTTTTTTTTTTCTTCAATTTTTCTATCATTTGCTTAAATAGAGCCCAATCACAGCGATTTCCCTGAGTGTCTCACACACTTTGCATGACATGTGGTGGAGGGGGAGCCCGGTCAAAAACAATCGGAAGTCTTAAAGCATCTGTGGCTTCTCCGCGGTGAGCGTGGTGTGGTATTCCCATCCCTCCAGTCCAAGGTTACTGCAGCTTTCCCGCCGATTTCACCGCTGCGTAGCAACCAAACGGCTTTACTGCGCAAAAATGGCGGCGATTACGCCTAAGAGCCGTGTCAGTTTTAATAGTTGACTATATAACCAATACCAAGTTAGATTATGATATTCTGGATGTCTGCTGCAAAAAGAGGATTAACAAAGTGTTTAAAAATGGAAACGCAAGTACTTTAATGGCATTAAATCCATCGCTTAATAGTCAGCAATGGTGCTTTGAATAAACGACAGTACGTCCACATGCAAAGTCAGGTTGGAATGAAGAGAGAGAGCACGTTATATCCAAGTGACAGAATCATTCCTTCATTTAGGAGATTCTTTAATCCAAAGCTATTTTGGTGGTCCTGAACTCATTAACACCTTTGGGGGTTTGACAGACGTGCTCAAGGTTAATGTAACATGTCCCACCTTGGGTGAGGCCCTTCGACCCCAAATCCCAATCCCAATCCCGTCCCCAAATCCCCAAGTCTTCTCACCGCAATGCTGCCCTGCGCAGCTGCTCTACACGACTGTTAACTGGCAGAGGCGGTCTGCTCCACCGACAGGCTGCCTTTTAATGAAGTGCCAAATAATAACCTTCTCCACAATGCTGCCAGGAACGAAGGAATGGACGGTTAGGGAGAAACACATTACCTCTGTTAAAAGTCTTGATACACTGTCACATTATGCATTTTTTTGCAAATAGAAAATCCCCTGCGAGACAAGGTCGGCGAGGATGACAGTTAAATTAGACCAACAAAAAAAAAAACACTGAAAAAGCAAATATCAGCTCAGCTAATATGCCAACCTTAATCAGCCTTCCACTAGTGCTCTGGCTGTTTTTAATATTCAGCATAAGGCTGGTTTGACCCTTTGACCGAAATCTTTCACTAACGAAATGCTATGCCTTTCCATCATACTGGAATATATTACTGTTTATGTTTATTTCTGTGTTTAAGTAGATTTATTTCTTTTTCTCAGGGTGCTGTGATAGAGGCTTGTACTAGAGCAGTCTATTTTGCGCATTTATTTAACAAAACACAAACATACAATACATTTAAATCTTATATGAGCATATTTTCGTATATTTCCTTACTCTCCCTGTATGTTTTGACCTATATAGCCATGTATCCAGAATCTAGTCACGACGCTTTCCTGCATTATGTTGGGTACAGTTGCCTTTCTAGTCCGCCCGATACCACCGCACAGGTGGTCGTGGCTTTGATCATTACGCTCATTAAATCCCCGGAGTTAATCTTTCTCATATGGATCTCCCCAAGGCTGGCCGGGGCCACTTCGTCTGAGCTCATTGTTAAATTGGCTTAGACTGAACCCCCACCCCCTTTCCTTCAGCCATCAGACCCCCGCTGATTCCGTGTGTAACCATGTAACATATTACCACTGTAACCTGTAGAGCAGCCACCTTGCAATCGTTTCCTTGTGTTTTAGGTGTGCAGAGCGACTTCCTCGTAGTTGCTTTTTTCGTTTGGATTTTATATTCCATCATCGAGCGCGCGTATTTCACCACATAAGCAACTGGTAGGTTAACCTAGTTTCCCGACACCTTTTCCCTCTCGCCATGTCTCATGCAAATGTTATAATCAAAAGCAAGAGTCCCGGCACAAGAAGCTTTTATTAAGAGGGCGTCTGAAGTCACAGTGGTAATCCGTCCCAGCCAAGATCACCTTGATTAAAAATGTATTAAATCCTTGGGCACTGTGGAGAGTAATAATTTTAGTTCCACCATTTTTTTTTTTCATACCTTCTCAGACAGAGATGTAGATTTTCATTAATGCTCCTCGGAAGTGAGACTCTCACTCTCGTCTCATGTATTATTGGGGAGGACAGTAGGAGGAGATATGAGCTGGGGATGAAAGTTCAAAGCCGTTTGGATGCTGGAAGTAGACCAGGGCGCGACGAGGGGGTTCAAATCAATATTATCCCCCCATCTCAAAAGATATTGTTATGGAGCCGAGCAACGTCTGTATCCACACCGTTCTTCATGAATGTATCCGCCCCATCTGCACCAGCCACGCTGCCCTTTCAGAGACCAGAGAAAACCGGTGTTTATGTAACGGACTTTTTTTTTTTTTTTTATCTCGGTCTGGGAATTAGTCAAATCCCCCCCCCCCAAAAAAAAAATCAAAAGCCAAAAAACCCCACTGATCCAAAGCCTCTGCTGTCAACTAGTCCCAACAAATAGACGTGGCTTCGCTCCGAGAATTCTCTGTGTGGGTTTGCAAGGTTGCACTTTTGCAATTCCGTTACGCTGCTGGAAAAAAAAAAAAAATACACCCTGAAAACGAGAGTGTCTTGTTATGGAATGGGTTTTCCAGTGTATTGTGACCATTTCTTTCGTCTAGATTCTTGTCTAGCTGGTTGTCCAAAGCTTTCTTTTCTGAATACAGCGTGAAAAGCTGTGTCTTTTGTGGATGTAACAAAATAGAAAAGTAGTCTGCAGCGCAATATGTCGTGGACACGTGAAAGCTTTCAGGCATTCTTTTCTTGTGCATCTCAGCCCACAGCCCTCCCCTGCACATCAGGTTAATGGGCCTTGCGGTGTGGAAGGACAAGCACGTCCAGGCTCAAACTGAAATGGTAAACCAATACATTATGCTCGGCGAGCAAAAACCATTTTCCTTAATGGGCCTTTCCAGCAAGGCTTACACAAGAGAAACGATTCCTATCCTCTCAATGTTTCCCCCCCAGTTCCTCTTCTCTGTGAAACATCACAAGGCCTGAGTAACGTTCCTATGCACTTGTTAGCATGTTTTCCTGGTTGAGAAATGTTTGTTCTGAGAACTTGCCCCCTTTGTGTTCAGTTCCTTTTTGTTCAAATGCATTTGGTTGCGAGTGTGTAAGAAGAGGGGATGAGCAGAGCGACAGATTTGTGTTGCTGCTGGAGATGAGAAGAAGCCAGCAGCAGGTTATCGCCGTCGTCTCCCGATAGCTACACAAACAAGACCGGCACAAAATGAGAAACACAAGGTTTTAAGGTGTTTTTATTTTTTATTTTTTTAATCCGACATGTCATTTTAAACTCTACCAGATCAAATTTATTTAAAATGACAAAAAAAAAAACCCACTCATTGTCGAAATGGAAACAGATTTGGCGAGACACACATTCCGTGATTTTACTTTGCGAATCGCTAAGCCCATCAAACTGTATCATGTTGGCCTTCGGAGTGGGCGTCTGCAAGATCAAGTGGCTGATATTCAATCCAATGGATTCACACATTTCCACCGGCTTGGCAAATCCAGAGGATAACTAGATTTTATCTCCCGTGGGAAATGACTAAGATCTGTCATTATCTTGGAGGCTCAAAGTGAGACTTCCTACACCCAAAATAGCACACGCCCCTCCTGCCTTTGATTATGACACATTCTCCATCTACGTAACCGCTGTGTCCGAGATCAGCTACGTTCACAACGATCTGAGCACAGGTGCCGTCCGCAGGCTTACACACCATCGCAACAGTGTTACTAGACCTCAAGCAGATACCATTTAAAAGGAAAAATGTATTACTCTTGAAAACTTATATTCTGTTTATGGTGTGTGCTCATATTACTCACCAGGCCAAATGTACAGTCCCTGTCTCTGTTTTGATGTTGAACTGGGCAAAAATAAATGACATAAATAAATAAATAAAACAAGTGTATCAGAAATGGTTGAAATACTGTGTACATATTTGAACTTTTGGTTTCTAATTTATAAAAGATAAGCTTTAGCTCTTGGAGTACTTATTTTATTTTTTCCTTTCATGCGTAGCTTTGTGTTTTTATTTTCTATTTCTGTAAAGTGTGTAAATATATCTTTATGATAATAAGTAATATTAAAAATCTTATTTTAAGAAAACATTGTGTCATGTCTTTCTTTTTACACGATGGAAATTCAAAAAACGTATGAGTGCACAGAAATGCTAATGAATGTGAGGCTGTTCAGGGCCGGAGGTGCTTTGAGCTAAATGTCAATGACGACGCTAACGTGACGGTGATCATCAGGTGATCATCAGGTAATGTTCTTCATCATCTCACATGGACCATCCATCAGCATTCTCGTGTGAGGAGGGGAAACCCTCTGGCTAGTTTGCATTTCTTTAAACCAATCACGACCATTTCGGTGATGTTCAGTGAAACTGCATTTGCCAGAAACTCATAGTAGCATGTTCTTTTGTTTTAATTATTTTACTGCCAATCAGCCCATCTGATTGATTATGTATTGACCCGTTATGTAGCAGTACATGGCCTGGAAAGTGGGAAAAAAAACACATGTTTACCTGAATGCCATGAGCATTAACCTTTACCTCCTGTGTAATATTGTGTAGAAATTCACTCGCTGCTGTATGCACATGCCTTTGGAAATGTAAATCAACTCCTCATCCATTAAGGAACACTTCACCACTGACAGCTGGTCCAGAGCTTATAGTGCATGCTACGCATCCTGCACATTAATGCATCACAGCTGCTGAGCATGCATGAAGACTACTAGAGGCAAGCATACAAGTCATATCTACATACAATGATTTTTACTGCTGGATAATCACAAAATAGTGTCAAAATTTACATCAAACGTAATTTTGGGACCTTTACTGTTGTGATAAACTTGTCCAAGAATCTCCAATCCTGTGATTCATTCATTTTTATAACTGAACTCTAAATATTTACGGAATTTGCCCCAAAAAGTGATAGGTTGTCTTTATAAGGAGAACCTCGATGAGCCAAAGTGTTTAAATGTACTGGGCTTTACATGTGAACCTCTCGTCCTCTCAAAGCCCCACCGGGACCACTCGGGGAAGTGCCTGGTTAACGCACAGAGCTGACATGTCATGATAGACAAGCGGGAGACCCCTGAGCCCCAGCAGCCCCCGAAAGACGCCCAAGGTTATATCATCAAGCCTGGGTCAGTTGTATAATTGGGCTCAGGGTCACCAGGAGGATATGGAGCGTGACAATGAGGCTATAGAGTTACAGTTTGTAGCCGGGCAGTGAGAGCCGCCGGTGGGGCATTACGGCGAAGCCAGACGTCCCCTCAAAAAGTTCAAGGTCCATCCTGCGAGAGCGGCTGCGGCCCTGTGCACCGTCACCGTGTCACGGCCCGGCAGTCCCCCACCCCACCGCTGAGAGGCTGGCGGGTGGGCAGAGGAGACAGCGGGTATATTTGGTTGATTATGAATAAAATATAAAACTTTCAGGCTGAGGAGTGAGTTTCAGAAACAGTTGCAAACTCTCTTCTGGTTCTTTTAACTAGTGACGACATCCCTTCAACTACAAAAGGGAAAGTTGGGTAATTTACCGGCCGTGTGTGCGTGAGGCTCTGTGCTTTCAGTAATTCAAACCGCATATATATATATATATATATATATATGTATGTGTATGTATATATGTATGTGTATGTATATATTTATATACATACACATATGTAGACTAGAGGAACAAACCGCAGGAGTAACATCTGGATTGCTCTTGGCACAGAGTCCCGAAGTCAACTTCTGTCACATCATAAAATCCTTCATTGGCTGTCCCACAAAACCGCCAACAAAGCCCACAGAACTGCTGACAAACCCACAACGATGGATATTAGCCAGCTCACTGCTGTCGCCCAACCACCTGGACTCCACAGACTCGTTCTACAGATCGAAAGTGAAGCACACGTGTGAGGATCAGGTGGTTACGTTTTACAACCGAGCCAATTTAACGAAGCTTTCATTTAGGGATTAGATTATTTATGCCTTTATGAGACAATGTCAGAGACATGACAGGACATAAGAGGAGAGAGAGGTGGGGAAAGTTATGAAAAGGTCCTCAGTCGTGGAGAAACTAGGAACAATGGACTGCCCACTTTTTCATTACTTTAATCATTACATCATTACAAAGTAGAATTTTCTTCAGCGGCAACTGCTTCAAAGTTGGGTTGTTGTTGTAATAATGACCATCTGACACCAAGTTATGTCTGACAATGAATGCTGAAGGTATCAGATATTGTTTGGGTTGATTGTTTAGTCTTCCTTTTAGCTGCAGCGCTAACATCCTGTTGGTCAGCTATGAACGGTCAGAAATCCTGAGTGAGGCGATTAAGACAATCATCTATCCTGCTACAGGATCCAGGGCTCATCACTTTCTTTGTCCTTTTTCCACTGCATGCAAAAAGAAGCAATCAAGTGTTTCTTTTCTCCCTTTAACCAACAATCTTTGTTCCCGTCCTCAATTTCACGGTGCACTACTGGGCATAGAGAGGCTGCAGTGACAGGATATTTGATGTTTCGGTGGCTCAATCCCTACGTATGTGTGTGTGTTTCGGTCCTTGCATCTCCTTCTGAAGCCGGCACGGAAACAACTCCTGACTGCAAGCAGAGCCTGGAGCCAGGTAGGACGCAGCAACAACAGTCGGCGTAATGCACCTCAGCTGTGTTAACACCAGCAGCTCTGCGGCGGCGACGGATCACTGGAGTGGTCATAAAAACAAAGCCAGCCACCAAACAAAACACAAGACAGAGGAGGGCGGGAGGGTTGGGGGGTGGGGGGTTGCTGGTAAAGAAATGTAAGCTGCTATGGGGGTCAAATAAAGCAAAAGGAAAAGGAGTTCTAACCTCCCTTGTCCCTTTGAAACATGATTCAGAAAACATGACAATGGTCACCAGTGCATTTCTCTGAAGCCTTATTAATGAGGCAAGACTTCCTTCGGGATTATTCCATACGCTGTGCGGCTTAGCCACATTAGCGTTAGCTCACAGGCCAGGAACAAAGAGAGTGCACCGGCCCATAGGCTAATATCATCAGGGTCATAACTTTCCCATCATTAGAGCGTCACATATCGATGACGGATGCACTTGGGATATAAACTGTTAGCCCTGACTCTGTCAGTTAACCTTAGCTCTTTCTCAAGGGTCCTCCTTTGGGGCCAAGAGGACACTTCCTCTGTTATTACACAGAGATATGTTGACACCCCGTCGCCCTGCAGTCCGTTCCTCGCTTAATCATAGACACATGAAGGTGTGTTGTCCTGTGGAGGTACGGCCACGCTAGCGAAGTAAAATCTCCATGGTCCATCACGAGGTGGTAAACAAGCGACCCTCATGGGACGTTATGTTGCATGGAAAAGCCATTGATGCCACCATTAACACTATTCACAGGAACGCTTTCTATTTTTTTTTGCTTGTAACATTAAAACTGCCTCATGCCTTCTTACAAATTGCATTTTTTTTTTGTCCTTGAGGCTTTCTGCAATGGCGTTATCTTCAACCACATTACATAGACGTGTATCCGTAGCGTGCCAGGAGCGAGCCGACCATACGGGCGTCACCCAAAACCACATGTTTATCAGCTGTGTGCACGGCACGGATTGCCCGATAACACGCGCTGCTTTTAAAAGAGATTGTTGATGAGATCCATTGAAGGTGGCGTGAGTCGAGCCCACTCCTCTCGTTCAGCAACCCGGAGCATTTTAAGGAAACAATTTGCCGCGGCTGATCAGGGGGAATCCGCGCTGTGTTTTTATCTTGTTAGGGCCGGGTCAAAGAGGCCGTGTCTCTGAAGGCTGAGACGACCCCCGTCAGGAAGGCGTCGCTTTGCCTCGCCGGGCTGACGTGCAAACCGCGAAGGCGTGAACGGTCGGAACCTCTTTGCCACATTAACACTCAAAGAGACAAACACACGCACGCGCGCACCCAGAAGACACACAACAACGTCAGTCACTTCACCCTTGAGGTATTTCCCAGATGTGGAGAGAGGCTCAACACAGTCGGTTCTGCTGAAGAAGCGCTGAATGGTTATAATAATATTCACGCAGTTAAAACTGCAGCATATTAATGTTTATTTTATGATTATTTAGCGGTTAAAGTCAGAAGCAGTTGTAGATTCCGCCCCTGCAACATGCTGTAGCAGGTTTAAATGTAGCATAGGTTAAACATTGTAGGTACTCTGAAACTCGCTGCACCATCAAAGGATTTAATTGCCAAAAAGATTTAATTTATTTCATATTAAATGAGGGGGAATAAGAAGACAGAGGAAGCTCCCAGTTTCTGAGAATGGATGTTTTCCAGATTTTGTGTTTGATCTTTTGTATCATTTAAGGCCATCTTCATCA